TTGCATAGAATAACCTAGTATTTATAGGGAACATGTAGATGACATCCAAACCCTCTTAATAGAGTTGTTGATGAATTAGGATATCAAAAAATTGAGTCCAAAACAAATTACAACTCACAATGAGTTTCCAAAATAAAACTTCAACTTGATATAGGATTTCAATAGCATTCCAAACTAAATTCTTCTTAATGTGCACTTCAATTAGAATTTTTCAATTATTTCAATAAGGAATTCGAGTCATACTCAAATTCTAACAAAATATCTTATTGATGTGTTTACATATTACTTTCTTTAATTATTTGTGAAATATAAAAACAATTTATAGGTAGAGTCACTAGTAATACATAGATACATCATTATAGTTTATGCATATTCCAAGTAAGTTGGTGCAATATACCATGTGACAAACACAAAAAGACGAAGGATTATTTATAGTCACAATAACACTTTAATTCTTATTTTACATTTTGAATTTTTTTAATAAACAGAGCTAGCTAGATTGGTCCTCTTGGATAATTGGACTAGACAATAAAGTACAAAACGAACATAGACTCGGTTTCAATCCAAATTTTTAATGGGATAAGTTCGAGTCTTGACTATATAACCTATTTTCACACCATTATACCTTGTACTATACGATAGAAAGTTATCCCACCTCAATTTGACCGCATTCTAGGAGAATTTAAAGATTGTAAAAAAAATTGCTAAATAGTAATTTTAGGAGAGCATATTCTATCATTTGGAGAGCATCTACAAATTTAGAGAGTTAAAATTTTGAAATATTCCAACAAACTCTGTTAGAATTTGGGTGTGACCCAAATTCCTTGTTGAAGTAATTGAAAAATTTTAATTGAAGTGCCATTCATATTTAGAATATTATTGGAGTCCTATGTCATGTTGAAATTCTATTTTGGGAGCCCATTGGGAGTTTGTTAAACAAAACCTGAGTTAAAATACCATAGAATGAAGTTGTTGTTGAGATGATCCACCCAAACCACATCCCCTACTTATTCCCTATAAATACTAGGCTCTTCTATACAATTTTATAGTGTGAGAAAATAGATTACTAAAATTATAGGATCCATTGTAATTTTCTCTCTTCTCTATTATTCTTGAGTCAATAAAATCTCTTAATTCCTCTTCCATTTTATTGTCTTCTTTATTCTTTTGTTTGATCAAATACTTCATTATTATTTGCCATATAATTTCAACACTCAACCCGATGGTTTGTTCCACAACAATTAGTATCAGAACTATTCTGGTATCTTGTTTGTTATACAACAATTGGTATTAGAGCCAGGTTCAGCAGATCCACAAGAGCGCAATGTTTGATTTGTTCGAGGTTTTTTATTCGTGATGGATTCCATGAAGTATGACATTTCGCTTTTGGATCGGGGCACTAGATTTTCGCTATGGCAGGTTAAGATGCATGCAGTACTCGCACAACTTGATTGGGATGATGCGTTGTTGGGAATTGACAATATGCACGTAACTTTGACCACGGAGGAGAAATTATGGAAGGATACAAAGGTAATTTCTCACATTCATTTTCATCTATCAAATACTATTCTTCAGGACGTTTTGAAGGAGAATTCATGAGCTGCTTTATGGTTGAGGTTTGAGCAATTGTGGATGACTAAAACTCTGACAAGCAAGTTGAATCTTAATCAGCGTTTATACTCTCATCGAATGGCAGAAGGAGGACCATTGGAAGATCACCTGGTTATATTTAAGGAGATCGTCGCTGATTTGGAAACTTTGGAAATAGAGTATGATGAAGAAAATTTGGCCTCGATATCATTGTGTTCGTTGCCCGCTTCGTTTTCTTCATTTAGAGACGATTTTGTATAGTCGTGATACTGTCACCATAGAGGAAGTGTATGATGCTTTGTATTCAAAACAGAAGATGAAGCATCTGGTTTCTGAGGCCAGAGATGGAGAAAGCCTGGTTGCTCATGGTAGTTCTGGAAGGGGCATATCGAAATCTAAGTTTATTAATCAAATTTATAACTACTGCAAGAAGAAGGGGCACTTAAAGAAGGATTGCTACAAATTGCAGAATAAAAAAAAGGATGGCTTCAAGTAAATATTCAGATACTTCAGGCGAAGCAGACCTTGTGGAGAACGTTGTAAGTGATGGGGAACTCTTAGCTATTTCTGACATTGAGCCTAAATCGGAAGGTGATTGGATTCTTGATTCAACATGTGTGTTTCATATGTGTCTTAATAAGGACCTTTTTGCTACATATGAAACTGTTTCCAAATGTGTCGTGGTTATTGAAAACAATACATTTTGTCGGGTTGCTAGAATTGGCACAGTCAGATTGAAGCTTTTGGATGGGACAATTAGAATACTTGGCCGGTTCGACATGTTCCAGATTTGAAGAAAAATCTCATCTCGTTGTCTATCATTGATTCAAAAGGTTATGAGTTTTTTAGTGGAGGTGGAGCTTTGAAGGTTTGTAAGGGTGCCCAAGTTGTATTGGAAGGTCAGAAAAGGTCACGGTTATACATCTTGCAGGGTCATGCAGAATTTAGAAGAGTCAATCCGCACAAGTTCAGGACCGTGGTGGACATTCAGTTTAGTACAATACCTTTAGGAGCTCATAAAGGATCGGATTTGAAGAATACAGTTCGGTGGAGTTCAGGAGATATGGTTAATGCCGCTTTGCCACTATCACCTGATGTGTCATTGTATTCAATTGCTACAAACGGACCCAATGGAAAATGGTATGTGGATGCTGATTTCGATGAGCATGCTTTAAGTGGAGTAGAAGGTGTACAATCTAACAAGGAGCCTTCTGTAAAAGCATTTGGTATTGATTCTACTTTGGGGTGTGTTACAGTCCATTTTGGTAAATTATAAAATCATTATGATTTTTTGGAATCTGAGTTAATTATGTGGAGTAGTGCTTGGATTCATTGGAAGAGGTAGAGTATTTTGTGTTTGGTTGGAGAAATTAATTTTTTGGTTATTGTTGAAGAAGTCAGTTCATTCCTTGATGAATTTCGTGTCAAGATGGAGATTGTTAGAATTTGGGTGAGACCTGAATTCCTTGTTGAAGTAATATAAGAATTCTAATTGAAGTGCACATCATGAAGAATTTAAATTTAGAATATTATTGGAGTCCTATGTCATATTGAAGTTCTATTTTGGAAGCCCATTAGGAGTTGAAATTTGTTTTGGACTCAATTTTATGGTATCCTACTTTATCAACAACTCTACTATGTGGGTTTAGACACCCCCTACTTATTCCCTATAAGTATTAGGCTCTTCTATACAATTTTATAGTGTGAGAAAATAGATTGCTAAAATTATAGGATCTATTGTAATTTTCTCTCTTCTCCATTATTCTTGAGTCAATAAAATCTCTTAATTCCTCTACCATATTCTTGTCTTCTTTATTCTTTTGTTTGATCAAATACTTCATTATTATTTGTCATATAAATTCAATATCCAATCCCGTGGTTTGTTCCACAACAATTTGTATCAGAGTCATTCTGATATCTTGTTTGTTTTACAACAAGCTATTTATATTTAACACTTGATTTTACTATTCCCAAAAAATATTTATTTATTTTATCTTTTATTTTAACTAGCTTTTCTTTTGATTATTTTATTATTTTCCAACATTAAAAATTGAATTTCTTTGAATGCATTTAATTATAGAGAGTGAGTTTGGTTCTCCAAACCCACTCTTTAAATTAAAATGTTAATTTAAAGAGTCTATTGGAACATAATTTTAAATGTTGACTCTTTAAAATAGAGAGCATCTCATATTTAAGAGTCTCTTAAAGATGCTCTAAGAGGTTACCCTTGATGTTAAGATCAGTCTCTAGAACATTGAAGAACAACTATAAATCTTGAACAAGAGTATCCAAGCCTAAAAACCAAGTCTTGAACCAAAGCATCCAAACCTAACAATCGATGCGTCAAGTCATTTGAAGTAGCACCAAATAGCAGTCACCATTTCTAATCCCTCCTCCTTGTCCTGGTGAAGCCTAAAAATCACATCGAGACTATCCCGATACTTTACTAATAAAAAGAAACGTGGCATTTGTATCTTTAGCAATGAAAGAAAGAGTTGTATTCACCTAAAGATGTTATGTGATTGTGCAGACATGTTTTAACGTGTAAGAAATATCTAACTTTACCAGTTCCTTGCTTGGCCTCCATTTTAATTGAGTGGTAAAAATGTAATTTGAAATAGTAATTTTTTTGGAGAATGTGTGGTTAAAAAAGAAAGAATTTTTTAAGTTTACGTGTAATATCATTTTATTAGAGAAACAAGAATGTGTTATTGATAAAAAAGAAAAAAATGAATTACAATTTTAATGGTGCCTAACCAAGGGCTAATGGTAATTTGCAAGAACAGAAACACAAGAAATTGGCCGAAAAACAAAACAAAATAAGGGGTAAAATAAAAATAAAAAAACTTCAAATCTCATCATGAAAACATAAATGCAGTGTATTTACAATATTTACATGAAAGCTGACAGTGTTAAACTGCAATTGCAATATATACAGATCCAGTAGAGTAAAAATGATGTGATAGAATCACTAGTTTAAATGACTTGGCCTATTAGGACACCATTGTATGCCTAAACTTTCCTGATAGATTTCAATTATTAACAAGCCCAGCACGATGAACACAGTAAAAAAGTAAATTAATTACCAGCAATCTAAAGGGGGGAAAAAAAAGACGACAAACTTTTACACGATCTGTTCATGGCAACTGTAACAATTCTAGAGACACTGCCTGTTAATGAACGACAAAAACACCATCTCAGCTACGAGGTGGCCTAAGTCAAATAACTAGACATTAGCTAATATTGTTGAAAAATGGCATTATACAACAGAACCCCAGGATCAAATCTGGCTATTACCATACTGGTAATCATTAGATACAAACCCATGCCACCTGCCCTAAATGGCCACTATCTAAATCTCCTTTGCTATCCATTTTGCAGGACAGAATTACCATCACGGTTCGGTTTTATCATTCTCGGCCCATTGGTTGCTCATGCAAGTAGCGTTCCTCATCTGTCGTAAAGGAGAACAGGAATCACCAAAAACAATGCCGTCAAGAAATATTATACGACTAGATCCATCACTTACAAGAGCATTTTACAATCCAAGTAAAGTTGAAAGCCAAATAACAAACATTCAGAAGAGTAATTATGGGATTAACAGAACTGCATTGCTAATATGGTCCCCCGTTCATAATTTGCATATAAAGACAGACAATGCTCCATCAGAATTAATGTTTTGTGACTTGCTTAGTAGTACTGACGATGACGACGACAATAATTAAATAATGAAAACAAATTGCTTGCCTCAAGTGGGTTTCAATACAGGATACTGGTATGTGCACCATTAGTATTTGAAAATGTTTACCACCAATAACATGAACATTCCATTTACGAGTTAACACCATTAGAAATCATATTACGTAATAAGGTTTTTCTATGGTCTTAAAAACTTTGATATTTGTTGTAAAAAAAATAGCTTCCCTATGGTTTCAAAAAGTTTTGCCATTTATTCCCTAGCATTATGGCTTTGTTTGAGATCCATTTTTGGGAAAAATGAGTTTTGTAATGGTTATTTTTACGGAGAATATGTGGTTAAAAAGTAGGAAAATGTTTAGGGTTTACGTGTAAAATTATTTTATTGAAAGATTATGTGGTTTAAAGAGAAAAATGAATTTTTAGAGAATTTGGCTCAGACAGGGGCTATGTCAAACTAACTACAATAAGACGGGTACTGGTTAAAAATCCGAACTAGGTTTATCATATTGTACCATATCAGAGATTGAGCTTTGCTGTCTGCCAGGGTTTCATGCAACACTGACAGTAGGATGTCAGTGATGGAATCAAGCTAATTAATTGTGCATATGGATGCATTGTGCTAGCTTTGATTTTTTGGGCTTTGGTCCAGGGGGATGACAGGTTTTCTTCTGGGCTGTAGGTAAAAAATACGATAATTTCTACTCCCTCTTCCCTTTTTCCTCAAGGGGTCAAGATCTAAAACCTCCATTGCAATACTTAAGAACTAGGAAGACAAGGATTCTTCCCTTTCAAAAGTGCATTGTCATTAAAAAAAAAAAAAAATCCAATTTTAAACTAGCATTATTGATGGCAGGAAAAAAACATGTGAGCATCAAAGAGCCGAGTTTAATGTTTACCACGATCACCGGTTAATAGAATAAGTAGTTTTCAGTGAGTCATCAAAGCAGGCATTGACAATTTGAAGCTACATCTATAAACTAAAGACAATCAATTTTAAAAATCATAGGATCATCATAAATGTACTACAAAGACATACCACTTTCCCCATCAGATATATCTGCAAGCCTTGCAAGGGTCTCAGTTAGAGCTTGTTCATGCTCCTGTTTCGATCAAAAGGAAGAATAACAGTAAACCTACTAGTAAGTGAAGTAAATGTGCAAAGACTCAAAAATTGAAGTGTTTTTCGAACCTTCAGCACTTTCTTTGCCTTTTCCATCTCAGCAGGGTCCGGATGACTGGCCCCAAAAACCCTCTCCACCTGCCAAAGTCCACAGTCAGTCAACACCTACATTAAGTAGCACATCTGAGTATATATCTATATACACATCTCAAGCAACTTTTACCTACCTCCTTAATTAGAGTATCAGTCTGAAGCAATTGAATGATGTCAGATCCCTTCTTTCCAATGCCATTCTGCGATGGTGGAAAATCCTTCCTGAATTTTGTCAACCCCCTACCTCTTCCTGCACCAGGAGCATTACCTCTCCCAGTAGGTCGACTCATCCCATGGCCTGATCCACCATAACCTCCACGACGAGAAATTCCCGGGTCTTCACCTTCCCATTGTATATCGTCAGGAGAAATCTGCAGATGAGACAGTACAAGATCAAATTAATACATGAATTTTTCGTTACCCGCATTATATGTTGTAACTGATCAATCAAACTTTCACCAACAGTTACTTAGTTGTAAGAAATGCAAGAAATACAAAATACAAGTAGACGATACGAAATAGTAAGATCTCTTGCAGAGCCACTGAGTGGGGTCAAACGAGTACTGAGTTTTAAAAACAAAACCTTAAAAGTGCCAGTTTTGGATGGTTTTCTCCAAAATATCTCACTGGAACAGAAGTAAAATTAATGTGGGGGTCGTGGATGATAAGCGGGGGTCAATACTAATTAAACATGGAAATTCTATAAGAGGAAATAGTTAGAAAATCATCAGTATATACACATAATTATTTTGAAATAAACTTTCACCAACTATTTTTTACATAATCAAATTAATTAAAATTTCACTCTCCCATAATTAAGAGAATTAATTTTCCAGTATCCTTTACCTGTGATGCACCGATATGGACACGTGTAGGCGATTTAAAAAATAAATAAAAAATACTGACAAGGCACATAGCCGTTACGTTGATTAAATTCTTTAAAATTCTTCATTTAAATAGTATAAATTTAGCTTTATATTTGTTCTTAAGTTTTCTTTTTAAAATCTTTTAAATATAAGTGCATATTTGTTATTTAATAATAACTTAAATATATAATATTTCTAATAAAAAAAATAAAAATGACAATGGTATTTGACACGTGACAGACACAGACACACCACCATAATTGAAGTGTCCTTACAACACAATACTACAACATCACATTTGAAAAATAGGCAGTAATATGACATATGACCATTTGACATGCAAATACAGCTTCAGGTATTCAATCAAAAGATTTTTTTATCACGGAGATTTTCAATGCAAATTTGAAAACTATATCCACATCTCCAAAAAATTGTAAATAACTTTTGACTCTAGGTCATACGTGAACAGAAGCAACAACATCTAAATCAATCTCCTTGGCCATCATTTAAATAGTACTCATTCCGTCACATAAAGATAGACTTTATTTCCTTTTTCATATGTCTCAAGTTATAAGTCACTTTTCTTATTAAGCCACTGTTTGGTGAACATTTTTAAGGTAAGAATGCATTTTTACTGTTAATGTGATGGGAAATATGTGGTTGAAAAAGAAGGAAAAGTTATTGATGTGATGTTAAATATTATTTTATTGAAGAATGTGTGGTTAAAAATGAGTAGAAGAATGAGAATGAAAAAAATAATGTGGACCAAATAAAGCCTAAAAGTATGGATATTTTTTAGTTTTCTAATATGCTCATATTTAACATACATTGTTATCAAAAAATTAAACTAATCATATTTAAACCATTATTTAATTTAGGGGTATATTAGGAAAAATGTAAGAAAAATTTATATTTCCAACTATATTAATTATATATTTTTAATTTGTGTGAAAATATAAACAAGTCTATCTTCATGGGACGGAGGTAATACAAGAACTGAATTTTACTCATGGAATGCTCTCATATATAAGAAATAAAGCACTTGTCTATGTGTGACATAAAATATTTTTTTGAATGTTCCATAACATGAGAAAAAACATGCACCTACCTCGGCAAGGTTGACCCATTCCCATGTTTCATTTGGAGTACCATAATCATAAACTAGAGCATGTCGATCCTGGAAAGCATTGCAGTTCAAAGTATTAAATAAGCTCAACGTGAAGTCTATAAATCACCACAAATCAGATCTACCTCAGCTGCATTGTAGTCGGTAATGACAGCTTCATAGAAATTATTGTCATCAGGCCATCTGGTCCTTACTTTCCGTCCAATGAATTGATTAAATGTAGCTCCTTCGGCAGATTCATTTGGAAGGCCACCAGAAGAAATACGGTTACCAAATTGACCTCTTCCAGCTGGACCAGAAGAGGGATATTGCATTTTCATTGAGGATGAACCAGTAGGAATCTGACCCTGTCAAGGAAATTATAAATGAAAATTAGAATCAAAATTTGTATAGGAGCAAACTTCGTAATAAATAATGCTTACAGATTTAGGCTTTTTCCCCTTTGTCCCCATCATGGGTCCACGCTTCGCAGACGATGAAGATGGCTGGTTTGCCGTGGCCATTGCCTGTGGGTGGAAAGGAGATGGCCCACCAAAGGATTGAGAAGGCAAAGAGGGGGCTATTTTCCGTTTCTTGCGAGAAGCTGATACGGAAGGACTGGGCACCGGCTCGTTGACAGCTTGACCAGTACCATGAATGCCTGGTTGAAGCCCGCCTGACTGCCTCCACTCTCTGATAGCATTTCCCAAGTTTTATGAAAAGAAGAAACAAAATAGCACATTATCAATTCTATTAAATCAGAAGATACCTTATTCTTCGGATCGTTTCATCTGCATTAACTCTACCAAGAAGCTCCCTGTGCTCTTCATTTGACAGTCGTAACTCTTTCCTCAGTTCAGTTATTAAACTTTCCTTCTCCTGAAGAAAATACATTTTATTGAGCAGTCATTTAAACCTGATCAAACAAATATGACAGTATTAGTTTCAAGTGTTCGATGTGACAAAAAGTACCCAAGTAATGGCATCAGCTTGTGCTTTAAAGGCTCTTAAAATTGAACTGTATGCTTCTTGCTCAAGCTGGTGAATTTTGGCTTCCATATCAGTTTCATCATGCATTCTAGGATATGGGGCAGCACCCATGACAGCAGGCCTTCCATTCCCAGCAATGCGGCCACCTCTTGGAATTCTATTTTGATGTGGTGGAGGAAGATCATCATCAGTGCCTGAAACACAACGCTATCAAAACTAAAGGAAGGCAAGGAAATTGTGTTATTTGGATAAAGAAGCCAGTACGCCCTAAAATGAAATCAAAAGGAAAGTATTCAAGAGTGCAGAAAAATAAAGTTAAGACATGTCATCCAAAATTTCACAATTAGAAAGAGCAGGTTTAGGTAATGAAGCCTGTTGAACAACTTTTAAGCAACTTAAAACATGCATATCTAAAAACTTATTCTGTTAAGAGGGCCACATGTATATCATTTAAATATGATCTTCAACAAAGCCTTGGAAGATCAGGTTCATGGATTTACTTTAGACAGCTTAAAACATCTAGTAAATATTTTCCTTTTGCAGTGCGAATTTTATAGTTGTTCCGACTTCCAACTGACTAATTAAATTCCTAGGTGATCTCTTGCCAATTAGTTCTCCAATTCATACATCAAAAGACACCTTTCTACGTATGTACGTGGCTCATTCCTTTACATCTCCTCGTGGAGAGAGTAGCACATGATCTGACTCATACAGCTCATTATGAAGCAATATTCTAGTACTACTAGAAACTAAACATCAAAAAAGTTAATTAAAGAATCTGGTGTCTTGTCGTCTATCTTTACATTTTATACGAAAGTGGGTGTCCAAATAAATAACATAATATTGATTACAAGCATTTATTGCTAATGAAAATACTAATCGTAATCAAAGCCGATAGAATCAAGAGATCTGATTGTCTAAGTTTCTGTCATTATATAGAATAAAAAGAAAGGAGATAGAGAAATAAATGGCGCTCTTTCTTAAGCAAGCTGAACATTCATTCCCTTGGGTTAGGATCAAGGTTGGGGTGGTCTTCCTTCTACCTAGAGAAAAAGGAAAGGCAAGCTCAAGGTAATACGAAAGAAAAAGCCCGACCATATATATAGCAGTACATTAGCTGCAGCTTTCAGTATTTACTAATGCAGCAAGGGAGGGAAGACCTTTTCCAGAGAGGGTAGGAAAAAAACCAGCATTTCTATATAATTATATACTTGATCACAATAAACTGAAAAATGCGGAGTGGAGAAGGGCAATAAGCCATCTTTCTATCAAGGTTAGGGAGTCAACTGAGCATCTCAGCAGCGGGATTAAATACCCGGATCGAATCAGAGCTCACGTAGCCCACCTTTAACAATCAGGAGGCGTGGGCCACAATTCGCACATAAGCCATCGGGTTGCACAAGCTCCAAACCGTTGAAAACATGAAGCACAGGCGAGAGCAACGACTCACGGCGTTTTGAGAACTTCTGCCCCCTCTTCATCTCGAAATCATACACAATAGAACGATGAACATATGGAACAAAAATCACTTTCTAGAGTATAGGACTAAAGCGAAGGAAATAGATACTTTTGATCTTCCTCCAGAGACATTGTTTCTCTCATCGGGCTTAAAGCGAATGTTGAGGCTTATGGTTAGCACGTGTACGAAATAAGCGCTACAAAGAACAAGAAGTTCTTAAGTTGGTGAGATCGATTTTTTGTTCGAGGTTCAAGAGGAAAGAGAGGAACCACCGCCCAATGTTGTTTTTATGAAAGTACGGTCACCGATGGCTAATACCTTCTCGACATTATCGAACCTAAAATCCAGTCTCAATTGTATTTTTTAGGTATAAAGAGATAAGGAACCGCCCTAAGCCCTCCCCTGAAATACGTTGTTAGCTACATTGACTATTCGTAGATCCATTATACATCGCTAAATCGATGAAAGTTGGGAATCATCACCCATAATCTAATCCCCTATGGACGTCTTGGCACATATTGTGGAACAAGTTACACACGTTACATGTCCTTTAAAGCTACTGTTAAGGAAGAATCACCTCTATGTAAAGACTATAATGGGCAGGAGTAGACAAGCACATTTTCAATAATTAAGCTTGAACACCCTTTCCAATAGCATGACCATAAATGTGAATTTTGGGATATTAGGCATGGGAAATTATTCCATTGCTCAAAGTGGAGGAGGAAATATACGTACCCCATGTTTGGTTCATGTTTATAAACTATTTATAAACACAAAAGTCACTTTTTATTCACACGCTTAGAGGGACTCATAAGTACTATCCCCTTATCCATCCCTCATTTCTATCTTTTTATAAGACATTTTGTAAACACTCCCAAACATGCTTGTAGATGAAGAGTAGAAGATAGCTTATTTAATTTAGTTCATAGGTTTATATAATTATAGATGCCATGTGTGAAGATGTTGACATGGACGTGCATTTAATTCAACATTAATTTATTACATCATTAAAATATCGTAACAAGTTTGAATGACTATACCTACCAATTTATCTGCCCATATACAACAATATGATGAGTGTCTTATATCCCAAAAGACGGATGACATAATGCATGAGTATTTCCTTTTTCTGTAAAAAGCTAAAACATCCTGACCCAAAAAGGCAAAGGGCAAGTAGCGGGAATTTGGTAAAAACAATTACTCATGCATACCCATTATAATACGCACAGTTCAACATTTTAATACATATCTATAATTGTCAAAATGGTTCCATTTTAGAAAACATAACACGAGCAATCACAAAAAAACTATAAGATTTTCATTAATATAAATTTCTCACTTTCTCACAAAATAATTAATACTAATTCTTATATTTTCATTTTATAATTCATAATCGGTATTCCACTTCTTCCCCATACTAAAATCATTAATCAAGTCCATCCCTCTCATATATTCAGATAAGAACAGATCCTAACACTCAACATTTCTACTCTTAAACAAATGGTAGAAGATATTCAAATCTAACATAAATTTCTAAGCAGTAAGCACCTACCTGATGGAAACATAGAGATATTTAATCAAATACATTCAACCAAGAAAGAGGATCTTTCAGTTCTCAGAGCTCTTTCTTTTGCGAACTGCATCTATAAACTTTGTTATTTTTCCCCCACACTTTCAGTATAACAGTGTAACTGAATTTTCCACAAATTTGATTTCTCAATAATTAATGCATTGCTTAGAAACTTCAAAAATTGAAAATAACCCATCTAATATGCCATTTAACCTGGACCACTATCAGGTTCGTATGGTAGTGTATCGGCAACAAAATAATTCAAACCCTCATATGAATTCAGAATTCTACAATGTAAAATGAACTGTTACCTAAAAAGTTTATACCTATTAATACATGAGGATAGATTTTCTAAGCTCCCCAGCTCTCTATTTTATAAGAACAAAAAATACTTCCAAAGTTTAAACATAGAAGGAAAAAAATTTAAAAAAAAATTGACAGTGCAAAACCTAGCTAAAAAAATTCAGTAAATCAATTCTTAAAATACAAGAAATTCAACAATGCATATCATAATTACACAAAACCCTAACCTCAATTTACAAAATCCATCACTTTAAAACCGAAATACATATATTATCAGGAAAAATACTCACCACTGCTATCATATGGCTCGTAGTCCATTGCCAGGTCTCTCTGCCGAAATTCTCGAACTTCTTGCAGCTCAAAATTCTCGAACCCTAAAAGAATATTCCCAAGACAGCTCGAAATTATGCTCTTAAACCTAAAAAAAAAATATTGGGAAAAGATTCGAACTTTATAGAGTTAGTTAATTCAACATGGACATGAAGTTTTCGGCGAGTGGCGAATCGATTTGTGTGATTTGCAATTGAAGCAGTATCCCAGTGAGTGCAAGGATACGCGGATGTGAGATGTGTTTATAAACTTTGGTTAAGAATAGAGGGGTTTGAATTCCGCATTCTGTTTTGTTATACGCAAGTGTTTAATGGGAAGGATTTAGAACACGTGCGGATTTATTTCATTTGAGTTCCATTTCAATCATTAGGGGAAGTGCAGTGATTTTATTTTTATTTTTTTATTATTGAAAAATTATCAAATATGATAAAAACGTTTGTATTACGAAATAAATAATTAATTTGTTTATGTAATGAGACATGCTCATAATGTATTTTTAAATGACAAAAAAGTAAGTTACAATATTTTATTCATCATCAAAAATCGGCAAGTACCTTAAGGAAGTCACTAAACCAAGATGTATCCCTAAGACTGGAAAATGTGTATCGTGCTGCTGCATGAACTACTTTATTGACATCTCATTGGATAAAGTTACGTTTTAATGAAAAAAAGTAACATAAATTCAAAAATATTATGTATAAGAAAACACTCTCTTTCAAAACTGTATTATAACCATATGACTCCAATTAGCAGCGAAGCTAGCACTCGATGAGCCGAGGTGGCCGCTCGTACTGACTTCGCCAAAATTCATTCTTCACAGCACATGTTGGGCGCTGTCCGTGAGTGTTTGCCCAATTTTATTTTATTTTTTAAAATAATGGACTTTATATTTTGGGCCTTTTTATTTAAGATTGAAGATAAAAATGTATTTAAGTTTTCTAATTTAAAAATCAGGTGTCATGTTTATTTAATCAAAAATCAGATATTAATTAAATTATTAATAATATCATGTATATTTCTTCTCCCTACAAGTTTTAGATTTCTCTCACTCTACCCATTTCTCTTCTTATTCATAGTCACTGGGTTTCATTCTTTATCGGTGTCAACTCTTTGAACCGACAACGATCAATCGCCAGTCTATCTACTCTATTTGCCCAGCGACACTCTGAAATGCACGTTGTGGCGGTGCTTGGATCTAAGAGAAGTTGCAGCAAAATATGCGCACGCTCAGATCTTAGCCTGCAGCGGCACTCAGTTAGCCTTAAATGGCCTTTTGTTTGGAGGTTTAGTAGTTGTCTAGGTAGTGGTGGGATTTTGCGATAACGAAGCTGCAGTTGTTTGATGTTGGTGTTAGACAACGTTGTTGCAGTTGTTTGGTATTGGTATTGGTGCTGATGTCGTCGTGGTGGAGGTGGTGGTGCTATCGATGCTGTGAGATAGCTAGACGGTGGTGTGGTGATTTTGAGATAGTGGTATGGTTGGATGCGGTGGTGCAGTGGTGGCTCTACTGGTGTGCATTGGTGTTGACCACTTGGGGGACCTTCACAAATGAAAAAGCTGACTTCCCTATGACTTTTGATTTTGGGCAACAAAATAAGGCATGTGTAGAATCTTCATAGCCATGTCGTTGTCTATTGCATAAAGTCTCAATTGTCAGGGATGGAGGAGGGGCAGGCCTCAAGCCCATTTGTTTTCTTTAAGTAAATTTTTTAATTAATTTTTTTATGTATCAGTCTAGTATAAAATTTTATTGTCCCCCCGGTTGCGGCCCTATCAATCGGGATAATATTTCTCAAGTAAAGAATTTCACCTATGTGAAATGTTGAGGTCTCAAAGGAAATTCCACCAGTTTTTGAGAGAGTTCGAGCAAGAACAAGCGTCACAAATTTTCAACTACATTATCATTCAATAACCACATGTCACTATAGAACTTCCACATATGTCAAAGTCCCACCTTAGCATGTCCTCTACATTAGGAAAACCTTGAGGTAAAGAGAAGAAATACTAATTCTGTATAGGCGTTCGAATCTCGCCTTTATATGATCATGCCTCCAATAACTATCCGAGTGCCTTAAATCATTGTAGAAACACCTGTCTTTGCAATCAGCGTGTAAAAATGTAGTTTTACTTCCCTCTAGAATACTTGCTGACAACGAGTTTGGATTGCATAGAATGTGCCAACATTATTTTGGCAACAATGTCGAATAAAAAGACATATAAGTCTTTGAACTCGGGTTCTTCCTTAATTTTAGTGTGAAGTTTTATGTTTTACATCGGCCTTACTCTACCAATACGAAGTAATCAGTTTCTTTATATCCAGGCATAATTTCTCCAATAACCAAGCTATAAGTTTCAATGTTTCTATTTATTTAATAAGTAAACAAATGGATATTTAAAGAAAATATAATGTCAAAATCCACATTATATTTTTATGTTCGATACATTCTTGTATGGATAATACTGGAAAATATAATTAACAACATTCTATTTGTATTTCTCTTTTAACGTTGTCTTGAAAGGCTGAATTTGTGCGGAAGTAATTGACGATATGAGGTAAGTTTTGTCAAGAAATAATAATTCAATCTCCAGTTGGCTCTTTTAATTGTGTAAAATATATGCATTTTTTGAGATCCTAAACTTCTTCTCTAGTTTCTTCTTTGTAAAACATGCTTGCATGCTTCTAACGGAAATTCAAATTGTAAAACTTAATTGAAACCACCAAAACGAGGTTGAATCACTTGTCTTTTGTTTGCTTGTTTCCTATACTGCTTTGTACTCATTCCTTGGTCGGAAATTAGATCACAAAGAAAGGAATTTGATAGCCACAACCCAAGAACCAATTTAGAGATGATATACTTCAAAAACAAGCCACCACCCACATGTATTTTTTTCTCTTGATTTTCATACGAATTTGTGTATGCATATTTTTCTTTTTTTGTGGTGGAAGTTGTATATGGGAGTTGTGGGTTGTGAGGAGTTGAGTTTCAAATTCAATTTTCTCAACTTCCTCAACTTCTCCCTCCAATAACACTCTCATGTAATCCGGGTCGGGTCAGTCCACATGGGTGACCCATTTTCTTCCAACATCTCACACTTGCACATGATGGGCTTGTCATATTTATCTCAACGTCTCTAAGTTCATACATGTAAATGGATCGTACGACCAACGAGTTAATTTAAGAGCACACAACACTATACACCTGTTAGGGATATATAGTAGCTCTAGAAGAGGAAATATATTTCTCGTTATACCCTAGACGTATTTTGTAACACCAGATTGAGTATTTTTGACCCCTCAATTTATTTTAAAACATACTCAACCTTCTTATTTATATTGTGTTCACAATTGTGTTTCAAAACTCAAATGATTAACACAATTGTCCGGCCGGTGAATACAAACTGAGGTGTTAGATAAAATAGTCTTCATTTCTTACTTGAATCCCTTCATTTCAAGTCAGCTGCTTTTCTAGACATGTTCCATCAAACCGAATCAACCATAGTTATTGACATAATGCTAAAGTAGCAATACTAAAATAAAATTTCGAGAAACAGTCAAAAGTCATAAGGGTATATAAGTAAGGCCATAAGTGCCTCAGGGACTCACACAATGAAAAAGCAGGGATCAATTCTTTCATTTCCAAACGCAGTAAAATTTTCCAGATATGTTCCCCTTAATATCATGAAGTACAAATTTCATGAATTTATACGAAGTATATCAAAAGTTGTCATTAACGATGTTCAAGCTTTTGAAGAAAACAAGATACATGTGTTTTAATCATTTCTACCCATTTTCAGCATGAAATTAAGTAAGAAAATAACCTTCTAGGGTTCTGATACCAATGTAAAACATGCTTGTATGCTTCTAACGGAAATTTAAATTGTAAAACTTACTTGAAACCACCAAAACGAGGTTGAATCACTTGCCTTTTGTTTGCTTGTCTCCTACACTGCTTTGTACTCACTCCTTGGTCGGAAATTCGATCACAAAGAAAGGAATTTGATAGCCACAATCCAAGAACCAATTTAGAGACGATATACTTCAAAAACAAGCCACCACCCACATGTATTTTTCTCTCTTGATTTTCATAAGAATTTGTGTATGCTTTTTTTTTTTTTTTTTGTGGTGGAAGTTGTATATGAGAGTNGTTGTAAGGAGTTGAGTTTCAAATTCAATTTTCTCAACTTCTTCAACTTTTCCCTCCAATTACACTCTCATGTAATTCGGGTCGGGTCAGCCCACATGGGCGACCCATTTTCTTCCAACATTTTTCATGGCTTCTTTCGTTTGTAAATGAAGATACATATTTATAGGACAAGATTAAGGTCAAGTCCATGTCCTAGAAGGTTTTCATAAAAAGGTTCATCAAGAAAAGGAAACAAAGTAATTTATATCCCGTATAGCCATACTATCGCATAGTAAAAATTATTGCGATCGCATGTTTATAAACCAAAACATTCTGCTCCTAGAGTCCTAGTAATTAACTCCTTATCATAAGTTTAAACCCATGTGATTGCATGATTATAAATTCCACCCTCTTTCCAAATTGATACAATTTGGTCCCTATTTTTTTCTCATTTATTCCACTTGAGTCCTTTTTTTTTTTTCCACATTTAGTCTATCTTTAATTCATTATAAATTAGCTCTCAACATTTTTAATCATCCATAGTCGATCTCATGAAGGTTTTTTAAATTTCCTATTAAATCCTAAACTTTTCAAATGTCGAATTCAGCTTCCGAAACTTGTGAATTACTTTTGTTTGCTCCCATAAATCTTCCAATTAATCAATTGCAAGCCGGTTGATCATAAATTGCTCCCTATCAACTCTAATTTAGCTCCAATTTCAAGTTTTTTCATGCCAATTGCATCCAAATGCATCAAAGTCGGGATTTACCTAGAATTAACATATTTACACCTAAGTTAGACCGATATCTAATCAATTAATCACAAATAAGCAAATAAAGAAGTCATAAATAAATGCATAATATGAACTTATCGTATGTATACTTTCTCAATCCGAATGTAGTTGAATATGTTGAAAAAAAGGGCTTAGTGGGCTACTTTTGGAATAATTTTGAGTGGGACCCATTTGTTCATTTTGTAATATCAAAGTTGATTTATGTTCTCCCCCGTGAGAACATTAAAATCATATATTTACTTGTCAAAATGATGCTAGGGTAAATGAGAAATTGTAGCTCATATTTTATAAATTGGAAGAAGTTTATGTGTTGAAGGAAAAACTAATTAAGTTTGTTCCACATTGGAAGTTTAAAAAAGTAAAGACTACTTTATATATGCTTACATATTGGAAGGGTGTAATCATATGTGTTTTTAGGGTTGAATGAGCGGGACAAAAAGCCTTAAAAATACGAATTAAAATTTTTCGGGAAACACTGCCGGTCGAGCGAAGTTCTGGCGACAGGCTAGCGACAATGTTACTGTTTCTGCTGCTTGAGCCAAGTCATGGCGACAATCTAGACCTAATATAACTCAAATTCTTTTCCTTCTTTTCCATTTTCGAACCCTAGACCTAATACAACTCAAATTCTA